GCAACCCGCAGTGCCGTGTCTGTGCATGCGCAGGTTGCGATTCGGTGCTTCTGTGCATGCACAAAGCGTGATTTAGTGTTTTTGTGCATGCGTGAGCGCCAAAACCTGGAAGCAACTGGTTCCGGTACTTCCTTTTTTCGGCGCGTCCGTAACCCAAAAACGCGCAACCTGAAGCATCTGTAACCTGAGGTATGACTGTAACTGGCAGCCAAACATTTCTCTGGCATAGCGTCAAACAGAGTCACCATGGGCTTTTAGCTCATGTTTCAACTGCATATAGTTCTCCAAAGTCCAAAGTCACTAGGGGAAAGAAATGACCTTTGCTAGCTGTGTTCAGTTTGACCCAGAAAGTGTCGTGTCCCTCCCGCCACTTTCCTCATTCTGTAAGCATGCAAACTTTTAACTAAAAATAGTCCTGCAATATTTTACTTAAAGTGACAATGCCAAATGAGGTGTTCACATTTTAATTGCCTAATCTGGAAGTATTTACAGTTCAATAGCTCTAGAAAGAGTGTTAATAATAGAACATTTGTCTTTGAGTTGTTTCCCCCCCCCCTCTGTTTTTTTTTTTTTTAATCAAATTGCATTAGGGATTAGAAGAAAATTTGTGCACATCCCAATAGGATGAGGTAGGGCATACAGTTGCAAAACAGACGGTTATTCACAGGTGACGGAAACATCAAGTGATGATCTGAGTGTGCAAATGAATTATTACTTCTTTAACAGCACAAACAATATTGCCAGTATCTCTAGGTAGGGCTGGGATATAGTCTTGCCTGAAACAATGGCAGGGCTAAAAAAATTTTTAAAAAAATAATTTTGGAGCAGGTTTCTTCAGCTGAGCCAATGATGACCCTGATTATTTGCAAGACTTCACAATCCCATCTCAGGACTGATTCCCTGGAACTATTTCAATTCTGGGGTGCAGATAAGCCACCAATCTTCAGCATGCCTGGTAAAGATTTACCCAGCTGGCGTGTGAAAAGGTGAGCATGTGATAAGATGCTAGTCAAGACCATGGAGACCCTCAGAAATACATTCAAAAAAAGATTAAGTATGGCCCCCACCACAACCAGGTTTTCTAAATTCCCCCCACCAACCGGTAGGTGGTGCCGCACTTTTGGAAGCTACCACCACCGGAAGTGTGGCACCAGCTTCTGGAAGTACATCGGCTGGAAAGCCATAGAGGAAGGAGGAACAAGAGTGGGGACACTCTTGGTGTGTCGTTTGATTCTGGTTTTTTGGTCCTGTGCTCTGATGTCAGCCAACTGACTCGTGCCATAGCATGGGACCAAAAAATGCACGTCTTTTGGTCCCACTCTTTGGTGTGGCTAGAGGACGGGAGCCAAAACAGGACTGGGATAAGAAGCTGAGATGGCTTCTGTAAATCCAGGATGTTCCGCTTAAAACAGGACATTTGTTGTCAGGCTTTGGGGAATTGGCTTCCTCCCCTGTGGCCGTAAATGAGCAGATCAAACGAAAGGAATTCTTACCAGTTACTTTCTTTAATAAACACAACAAAGGACAAATGAAAGCATCAACCTAGAATGGCAGTGCTCCCAATTAAGGTTTACCCCCTCCGTCCCTATTAATCTACATCACTCCTATGTCTTGTAATCCGAGCTTGTATCTTCTGTTCTGAAACTTTCTGAGCTCTCCTTGACCATGGGCTGAGTGGAGGAATGCTTTCCAGAGACTGTGGATCTCTTAGCCCTCTCCCATTCTTTCTTCTCCTAGCTGTTCCCCATCCAGTATTTCCCAGCTTCTGCCTTCTGAACTATGCCCCTCTGCGAACCTCTTTTCTGAATCTATACTGTCCTCCTGCTCCTGGGAAGATTCAGGATCAGGATCAGGAGGAGGGGGGCTCCCACCATTCCTCCTCAGTGCAGCCCTCCTCAGCACGGTCCCTGACATTTGTGGGAGCCAGCGTGGTGTAGTGGTTAAGAGCGGTAGACTCGTAATCTGGTGAACCGGGTTCGCATCTCCGCTTCTCCACATGCAGCTGCTGGGTGACCTTGGGCTAGTCACACTTCTCTGAAGTCTCTCAGCCCCACTCACCTCACAGTGTTTGTTGTGGGGGAGGAAGGGAAAGGAGAATGTGAGCCGCTTTGAGACTCCTTAGGCTAGTGATAAAGCGGGATATCAAATCCAAACTACTCTTCTTCTTCTTCTTCTTCTTCTTCTTCTTCTTCTTCTTCTTCTTCTTCTTCTTCTTGTGTGGCATGTCCTAGCCCTCCTTGGAGATGCCAGGGATTGAACTTGGAAACCTCTGCTTGTTAAACAGATTATCTACTGCTGATGTCCCTTCCCATGAACATTCATGTTGCTGATAATTTATGGGTCCGGATTCAGTTAATGATGACCTAATTGTAAAGCAATTCCTCTGATATGAATTCTTATTTGAATCCAGCCATCCTTCATTTAGATAGCTCTTGGGGTTATCATATTATTTACGGGAAAGGTTTATGGCTGGCATTAAAACATGTTGAGGTCATCACGGGGTAGAGAAATGGTTTCCATTTGAGGTGAAACCCTTAATGTGGCACATTCATGAATACCATTTAGGATCATAAATGGCTCTCTGATCCTACTTGGGTCTCTCCATTAAAAGCATCAATGTTGGACAGACTGTATGCCCACCAGGATCAAATATTGTGAAATAGCCCCCCAAATGTTTCCACTTCCAGCCAAGTCATGAGGTAGATTTTAATATTAATACCATACTTAAAAAAAGATTTTATTTTGGGAGCGGGGGAGGGAATAGCCTTTTCATTTGGAAGCCTTAATGGCATCCTACGATCACATTTCTTAAGCTTTTATTAGGAAGTGAGATGGCTGGACGTGTCTGTTCTGCAAAAAAAGAAAGCTGTGGGGGTTTTTTTCCATGGCTGTATCATAAATTTTGCAATTTCAGGCATTAAGAGAGGGGGTGCAATGCCTAAAATGAGAACCGGCAAACCTATGCCTGTAATAAATTAATATAATGATGGGGTAATAGTATATCGTCGGAGTGCATAGAACAATCCATTAGCACAAAATTGATGGGTAGAATTGTTTGCTCACAGCAAATCACTTCACTAGGGGAAATGGGTTAAGCCATATGCTCCATCCTGCTCTGTACTGTCAAATGAAGCCATATGCCATAATTAAACTTTCATAGGCTGTGATCATCAAGGCTGTCCGGGCTGCAGTTAAACATGCTGGGCGAGATCTCATCAAAAGCTCCATGCCCCTTGGGCTGCGTTCCACCAGGAGATTCTCCAGGACAAGTCCTGCTGAACTGAAAGTGGCGCGAGACGCCTCTCACTGTGTCACCACCGTGTGATGGAACTGTCAAAGGGACTGGGCGCTCAGGCGATGATTGCGATCAACACCTAAACAGCAAGACCTCTGCACCACGTCCTAATTTATGGGCCACATCTGCACCATACTTTTAAAGCACTATCGTGCCACTTCAACGGAGACTGTTTCTCCCAAAGCACCCTGGGGATCGCGGTTTACAAAAGGTGCTGAGTGTTGTTCAGATGCCCCATATCTCCCCCCCCCGCCGCCTTTGCAGGGCTAAAGTGTGGTTTAACAGTCTACTACGGCTCCAATCCTGTCACCATTGTCATGAGCTCAATGGGACTTACTCCTGAGTGTGTGCAATTGCACTGTAAAGAAAGAATGTTCCTATGTATTAGGAAGGTGATTTTCATAGCCAAATGAAATGGTACGGTGAGGGGGTTTATTGAAAATGGGATACTGAGGGGGGGGGATAAGGAAATGTGGGGGGAGTGCATATCAGGAAGGTGGGGCTGGTGTTCTCAGAGTGGCTTAGCAATCAATCCCACTTTCCAAGAAAACTCTGGGAACTGTAGCTCTGTGGGGGGAATCAGGGGCGAAGCTACCTGCTCCGGCACCGGGAGCAGCGTACATCGGGGGGCGTGGGTGGTGGGCATCCCAGGGGGCATGGTGCATTTCCCGCAGGGGGTGTAGCATGCATCAGGGGTGCGACCAAGCGGCGCATGTCCCAGGGCGTGTGCGACAAGTGGCAAGTGACCCGACGGAGCACGCCGAGCACCGAGCAGCCCGGGGGTGGGGGCGGACACAATGTCAACCCTCCCGGATGGCAGACAGGTCAGACCGCCCCCCCGCCCCACCTTCATCCACCAGTGGGGGGGAATAGGGGTCTCCTAACAACTCCTATTGGTGCTTTTGAATTGATGCTTTTGAATTATGGTGCTGGAGGAGACTCTTGAGAGTCCCATGGACTGCAAGAAGATCAAACCTCTCCATTCTTAAGGAAATCAGCCCTGAGTGCTCACTGGAAGGACAGATCCTGAAGCTGATGCGCCAATACTTTGGCCACCTCATGAGAAGAGAAGACTACCTGGAAAAGACCCTGATGTTGGGAAAGATGGAGGGCAGAAGGAGAAGGGGACGGCAGAGGATGAGATGGTTGGACAGTGTTGTCGAAGCTACCAGCATGAGTTTGACCAAACTGTGGGAGGCAGTGGAAGACAGGAGTGCCTGGTGTGCTCTGGTCCATGGGGTCACAAAGAGTTGGACACGACTAAACAACAACAACAACAACAACAACTCCTAGCACCCTTGACAAACCACAGCCCCCAGGATTGTTGGGGGGCAGGAAAGCCATCTCTATTGAAAGTGATATAATGGTGCTTTAAATGTCGAGTGGAAATGTAGCCTAGCTCTACACAGGTTTTCGGAATGAAGCGAGCATGAAGCAGCACATCCTGAGGTTGTAGGATGGAGCACATTGATCCAGACTCAACAGCAAGTCGATTCCCCACGTATAGAAACTTAGCCAAGGGAAGTGCAAGGCTAGGCGTCTGAATGCCAGTTGCTTCAAACCACAGGAGGGGAGGGTGCTGTTGTGCCCAGGTCCCACTTTGGGGTCCCACGGGCATCTGGTTGGCACTGTGGTAGAATCACAGAGTTGGAAGGGACCCTGGGGATCATCGAGTCCAACCCCCTGCAATGCAGGAATATGCAGCTGTCGCTTACGGGGATCGAACCTGCAACCTTGGCATTATCAGCACCACACTCTAACCAACTGAGCTATCCAGATGAGCACAGGGTGCCGGATGAAATGGGCCACTGGCCTAATCCAGCAAGACTCTTCTTACATTCTTATGTTCTTAGGGTTAACATTCTATGTGGAAGAAGGCTTTACTTTTAATATGCCAAGAGTTGTGCAATCGCTTTCCCTGAAAGGGGGGTGGGTAACATCTAGGTACAACTTTACCATCTCATCCCTGTTCTCTCTGCCCCCAGTTCCTGGGAACCAGGCCACATTCCTGCACCTAATTGAACAAGATTTCCACCCAACACGGTCCTCACCCTTGCAGGTAATGAGCGACCTTGATTTATTCTCAGCTCTCCGTTGCTTTGACTTAATTTCATTTATTTTTGCACAAAAGCCGACAGGTGGAGAACTGAAACTATTGGCGGCTGCAATTAATGGCATGCCAGGCTCCTGCAGGGAAAGGAGTTGATATGAGTAAGGCAAACTTCTTGTGGGGGGTTCTTTTATAAACCAATAAATGTCGCCAGGGTTGCCTCATTCCTGCGACAAAAGTCTCTTGCGATGCGCGTACACCAGAGAACTGTAGGGGGGCCAGCACTTCTCCTAAGAGGTCCTGCCTACTCCATTCAGTGTGTGCTAATAGATTATACCACAGGGCATTCTCCGTATGCAGTTAGCAATCTCCGCGCCGGCTTCTAAGAACTCCCCACTTGCCTGAACAAAGTGACAATGGTGCGCATTGTTTGTGGAGAAGGCGAAACGTCTCCTCTTGCCCATTGAAATCTCTGCCGTGGGAAGCTGGGCAACGCCGGCTCTTTCTCTCCATTGCACAGGAGCCGAGATGGATCTGATCCTGGGGTGCAGGGAGGGAGTGGAGGACTGAAAGAAACCAGGGCAACACTCATTCAGATTGCTGAGAAACCTAGTTTGCTGCGGGTGCGAGGGTGCGCTCTGCCCCACCACTGAACCTTCGCTGCCCCGTTGGCTTCCATTTCTCTTTGAGCACTCTCCCGCGGCCATCACTTCAAGGGGAGAGGGACGGCGTGCACCTCACACAGAGAGATTCATCACGTCCCCATCACTGCTCCAACAGCCATGAAGTGGGAAGATGCAGGGAGCTGGTTGTCTGCAATACACAGCCTCTTCTAATCGCGGTGACTTCAAGGTTGGGTTACTGCAATGCCCTGTTTGTGGGGGCTTTATCCAGTAGCTGCAGTTAGCGCAGAATGCCAGTGTGAGACCCCATCAGCATATGGCACTTCTGCTCAGAGATCTGCTCTGGTTGCCCATTTGCTACCAGGTCGGGTACAAGGGGTTACTTTTAAATAATAATAATAATAATAATAATAATAATAATAATAATAATAATAATTTATTTATACCCCGCCCATCTGGGCGGCTTCCAACAAAACATTAAAATACCGTAATACATCAAACATTAAAAGCTTCCCTAAACAGGGCTGCCTTCAGATGTCTTCTAAAAGTCTGGTAGTTGTTGTTCTCTTCGACATCTGGTGGGAGGGCGTTCCACAGGGTGGGTGCCACTACTGAGAAGGCCCTCTGCCTGGTTCCCTGTAACTTGGCTTCTCTCAGTGAGGCAACCGCCAGAAGACCCTCAGCTCTTGACCTCAGTGTCCGGGTAGAACAATAGGGGTGGAGACACTCCTTCAGATATACTTCAGATATATAAAACCTGTAACAGCTTGAGACACATTACCTTGTGCCCCCTTGGCCACTTCCATCTGCATTACTGGCACTGTTACCACTGCCACATATTATCCATTCTCGAGTTTTAAGAAATCCATCTTTTAGTATAGCAGCATTCACACTGTGGAACTCCCTGCTGTTGACATCAGGCAGGCGTCTTCGCTGTGCTCCTTTTGGTGCCCTTACAAAAAAAAATTTTTTTTTAAGACCTAAACAAACAAACAGACAGACATGTAGAAGTTCTATGTGTTTTGTTCCATTTTGCTGCTCTTTATTTCACTCATTTTTTCAATGTTCTAAATACCTGTTTTTAAACTGGTTTTATATTTTTGCAAACCACTTCAAGGTTCTCTTGCGTTCAAGCGGAATATGATTTTTGTAAATAAAGAAAAGAAACCAACGTAGGTTCTCCATGAGTTGTAGAACCCTCTTCTCCCAGGATTTCGAAATTGCCTCAGAAGCCTGCAGGAACACAGCAGGCTTCCTGCTCTTGACGTTCAGCTCCCAATACCTGTACATGGAGGACTTTTGAAAAAACAAACAAGCAGTGATGTGATGGTGGGGCAGAGATGGGAAGAGTACTAATGATTTTCATAAACGCTTGTTGGAGGTGATGGGCAGAGTCAGCCCACCCATGAGGCAGGGTGAAGCATCTCAGGCGGCAGAAGCAGAAGAGGCACACCCTGCCTCACCACTTCGGCAGAGTGAGAGAGCCATTCCAGCATGTGATATTGCTGCTCTTCTTCCCTGCCTCAGTGTGGGATGTGAAACACAAGAGCAGTCAAGTACAACATTCCTAGAGTGAACATGTTTACACATGGGGAGGAATGTTTGTCCAGTCAGCAGGTAAACTTCCTATTTCCTTCTGGGCTGGGACAGACTTCCTTTGCATGTGACTAGAGGTGGGTGTGGCCTCATCTGTGCAGGTAACAACAAAAGCACAGGGTAGGGCATCCATCTCTCTCTCTTTGACTACATGCATCAAAGAAGCAACATCTGCTTAGCCAAAGATGCTCTCTTGTCTTCCAGCCAAGAGAGACAGAGGGACTGTCTCCTTATGAGACAGTTTCCAGGTGTATGTTACTTTTCTAAGCTAAGTCTGCCTTCTGGGATCCGATTGTGAACAGAATGTGAGTAACCTCTTTTTATACTTTTATAGAAGACTGTGTTGTGTCTTATCTTTTATGAGGGAATAAGGGAAAATACCAGAACAGTTATTATAGAGGCTTTAGCGAGCCTGAGCAAACGCATCCGCTGTAAGTTTAAAAAGGGGGATGTTACTCTGCTAAATTGTGAACTTGTTAACACAATTTGGAAAGGTTATAATCAAACAATATATTCTCTCCTGCATCCCTGAACATTCCCACACTCAGCAGCGAAGACGAATGGCATCCTTTTTGGAAGCCATGCAGAGTGGCTGGGGCAACCCAGTTGGATGGGTGGGGTACAAGAAAATTATGATGGTGGTGGTGGAATGCCACCTTAGTAGTAGCAGCAGCATGCTGCCCATCTGACCGGGTTGCCCCAACCACTCTGGGGTTAACATCAAACATTAAAAACTTCCTGGTACAAGGCTGCCTTCAGATGTCTTCTAAACATCTGATACTTATTTATTTCCCTGACATCTGATGGGAAGGTGTTCTACAGGGCCGGGCGACTACCAAAAAGGCCCTCTACCAGGTTCCCTGTAACTTCGCTTCTCACAATGAGGGAACTGCCAGAAGGCCCTTGGCGCTGGACCTCAGTGTCAGGGCTGAACAATGGGGGTGGAGATGCTCCTTCAGGTATACAGGGCCAAAGCCATTCAGGGCTTTATTTTTTTTTTAAATGATATTTATTAAAGTTTCAACGAATACAAAAAAAAAAAATGAAAATACAAAAAAGTACAAAATACAGAAAAAAGAATAAGATTTTTTAAAATATAACAAAAAAAAAAGAAAACTAAAGGAAAACATACAAGATACAGTTAAAAACACATTAACTTTCCATAGTATACCTTCCCTAGCCTTATTTCCCCGGACCTCCTCATACCTCCCTTTTTTGTATTCCAGTTTGGTTTGTTAGTTCAGCAAATCCTTACCATTAAGCTTTTACCCATTTGTAAACCTTTTTCGTATCTCTTAAAGCATTACAGCTGGAAACCACTTAGTTTCTATCCAACATCCTTCTAAGATTCCTTAATTTTACAATATTTCTGTAAATAGTCTTTAAATTTCTTCCAGTCTTCTTTCACCGACTCTTCTCCCTAGTCTCGGATTCTGCCAGTCATTTCTGCCAATTCCATGTAGTCAATCACCTTCATCTGCCATTCTTCCAGAGTGGGTAGATCTTGTGTCTTCCAATATTTGCAATGAGTATTCTTGCTGCTGTTGTAGCATACATAAAAAAAATTCTGTCCTTCTTTGGCACCAATTGGCCGACAATGCCCAGAAGAAAGGCCTCTGGTTTCTTCAGAAAGGTATATTTAAATACCTTTTTTATTTCATTATAAATCATCTCCCAGAAAGCCTTAATCCTTGGGCACGTCCACCAAAGGTGAAAGAATGTAGCCATTCAGGGCTTTAAAGGTCAGCACCAACACTTTGAATTGTGCTCGGAAATGTACTGGGAGCCAACGTATGACAAGGGAAGGAACATTCCAGCGTACAGCCTTGCCACTCAACTTCTTCATTCCAGGGGCAGGGAAGACGACTGGAGGTGCAGAGGGACATAACAGCAGCATGTTCCCATTTCACCTCAGTTGGTGAATCAGAATGAGCTTCCCCGCTGATGCGATTTGCAGTTCAGTAACATCTTAGGTTCCCTGTACCTGCTCTATCTCAAAGTGCATCAATGTGCACACACACCAGCATAAGTCACCAATATTTCATCTTCACCATCTTCACATGAGGCAAATTGTGCCACAAAGGTGGAGAGACACTTGCAGAGCCAGTGTGGTGTAGTGGTTAAGAGCGGTAGACTCGTAATCTGGTGAACTGGGTTCGCTTCCCTGCTCCTCAACATGCAGCTGCTGGGTGACCTTGGGCTAGTCACACTTTTTTGAAGTCTCTCAGCCCCACTCACTTCACAGAGTGTTTGTTGTGGGGGAGGAAGGGAAAGGAGAATGTTAGCTGCTTTGAGACTCCTTAGGGTAGTGATAAAGCGGGATATCAAATCCAAACTCTTCTTCTTCTTGCACTCACCCGTACTAATGGTGAATTTCTCAGTAGATACAGTGACATGGAATGGGATTCCCCCCCCCCCAAGGTGAAACTCGAATACTGCTGGCACATACATATTTTACTTCTAGTAAAATATGCTTCCCCAAACCTCTAAGGACACTTCTCTTGCCTTTTCGGTTTTTGCCTTCCGAACCAGCGCTAGAAGAACCACAGATCTGGCTCCTGGCTCATTGTGATGGAAAGGTTTGACCACCCTGATATAATCAGAATGCCTATTTCATTGTTTGAAAAGGTCACATTAACTGCTTTAGGATTACAATGGAAGGTAGAATTGGGCTCGCGAGGGGGTGCGGAGTGAAATCAGTTCAAAAGCTGAGCCTTGCTGAGATGAAATCAGTGCATTTGCTAAGCTTTTGTCCACTCCAAGATCACCCGCACCCCTTATTTTCTGTGTGAAGAGCTTCAGGAATGATTTCACAATTGGCACCCAGCCTTTTGATTGATAATTTCTTTCTCTCAGCAGAATAAAGGTTAGCACTTCTAGAAAAGTTCACAAGGTAGGAAGGCGTGAGGTTGGCTTGATGGTTGACTATGACAACCTTTTGTGTTGATTTTCACGCCTTACCTTGTGAACTTGATTCTCACCTTAAACTATTCATCACTCCCCCTTTATTCTCGAATGTCTGCATACAGGTTTTTTGTAATAGTATGACCTGTATTGATGGCGGTGTGCGTTCTCACAGCTTCTCCAAACAGCAAGAAGTTTTGGGGGCAGCATTACCCTGGTCTGGTTTTCTTTAGATGAGTGAAAGCTGGAGCCTTATGTAATACTAGCTTTGTTTGCAAAAATACAAGCAGAGCATTAGCTGGACACTCACAAAAGCACTCCCATAAGAAATAGTCTGCCATCTCCACATCAGATTCCAAAAAGGCAGACTGCATCATAAAAGAGTTGTCAACTAAGATAGCTCCCTGCCTGCTTGCCTCTGAATTGCAAACTCCTGCTTCCACACACAGACACACCACACACTACACAAGATAAGTGGGTAAAGAGGCAAATGATAGTAGCATATAAGATTATTCATGGGGTTGAGAAAGTGCTTAATATCCCTCGCCCATAATGCCAGAACCCAGGGGGCATCTAATGAAGCTGAATCTTGGAAGATTCAGAGCAGACACAAAATAACTTGATGACATTTGCTTCCTGGATAGCTCAGTTGGTTAGAGCAGGGTGTTGATAACGCCAAGGTTGCAAGTTTGATCCTCCTAAGGGACAGCAGTATATTCCTGCATAACAGGGGGTTGGACTAGATGATCCTCAGGATCCCTTCCAACTCTACAATTCTATGAAATCATAGAAGATTGCTTTCTCAAAGTGTTTTATCAGTGCAACATATTTGCATCAGCAATGTTGAGGGCGAATGCACAAATGAGCTGAAGAATGTTAAACCTGCCAAATGTTGCATAGGCTTTAATTTTGAAATTGATTCTTCTAAGCCCTGCTCAGGCATTCACTTGAACATATGTAGGGAGGGGCAGACATGGGCACACAATTTCCACCCCAAAAGTCCAACTCCCATGCACAGGTTCTGCTTTAGGATTCATCATGTGAAAGGCTGGACTGGATGAATCCCAAGCCGGAATTAAGATTGCCAGAAGAAATATCAACAACCTCAGATATGCAGATGAAACAACTTTGATGGCAGGAAGTGAGGAGGAATTAAAGAACCTTTTATGAGGGTGAAAGAGGAGAGCGCAAAATATGGTCTGAAGCTCAACATCAAAAAAAGGAAGATCATGGCCACTGGTCCCATCACCTCCTGGCAAATGGAAGGGGAAGAAATGGAGGCAGTGAGAGATTTTACTTTCTTGGGCTCCATGATTACTGCAGATGGTGATGGGAGTCACGAAATTAAAAAAAACACCTGCTTCTTGGGAGAAAAGCAATGACAAACCTAGACAGCATCTTAAAAAGCAGAGACATCACCTTGCCAAAAAAGGTCCGTATAGTTAAAGTTATGGTTTTCCCAGTAGTGAAGTATGGAAGTGAGAGCTGGACTATAAAGAAGGCTGATTGTTGAAGAATTGATGCTTTTGAATTATGGTGCTGGAGGAGACTCTTGAGAGTCCCATGGACTGCAAGAAGATCAAACCTCTCCATTCTTAGAGAAATCAGCCCTGAGTGCTCACTGGAAGGACAGATCGTGAAGCTGAGGCTCCAATACTTTGGCCACCTCATGCGAAGAGAAGACTCCCTGGAAAAGACCCTGATGTTGGGAAAGATGGAGGGCACAAGGAGAAGGGGACGACAGAGGACGAGATGGTTGGACAGTGTTCTCGAAGCTACCAGCATGAGTTTGACCAAACTGTGGGAGGCAGTGGAAGACAGGAGTGCCTGGCGTGCTCTGGTCCATGGGGTCACGAAGAGTCGGACACGACTAAATGACTAAACAACAACAATGTTGAGAGGGAAAGTCTGAAGCGGTATGTTAAGGGCACCTATGTAGAATCTTCCCCATGATCTCCATGTTTCATAAGGCTTGGAAACTTACTTGTGATCAGGAATCCTGATAAGGAAAGTTTCCTGACCACACGAAAGGTTCTAAGCACATCCACACAAATGCATTGAGAGTCTTTCTTCAGACCTTCCCTCTCAATGCAGGGAGGATTATTTCCATTGCATGCATTTGTCATTCAACTTCACAATCCCTTTTTCTTTTAACTGCCCTAACCAATTTTGTATGATCAGCAAACTTGGCTACCTCACTGCTCGCCCCTAACTCTAGCTTATTTCTGAACAAGTTAAGAAGCTCAGGTCCCAATACCAGTCCTTGGGGGGACTCCACTTTCTAGATCACTCCATTTGGAGAACTGTTCATCCATTTCAACCCTCTGCTTCCTGTTTCTTAGCCATCTCCGAATATTGTAGATGTTAATATTGTGCAGTTTGAAGTGTTTTCCTAAAGCCATTAGATTGTTCAAAACTTTACTTGCAGAACTTTCTTCAAAACAGAACAAAAAGCAGTAAATGATACATCCAAATAATTCCATCCAAATGTCCAGCACAGGCTAAGCGTCTTAAAAATAAAATAAAATTTCCAAATTGACCTATAGCAAGGGTCTCTCTCCTTACAGCCTCCATTTTTCCTGGAGCTGTTTTCCTGGAGAGCCATTTACACATCCTTTCTGCCACAGAGCCTGGGAACAAAGACTAAAAAGCAGCTCCCTTTCAAAATGGAGATTTGCAACTCTATACCTTTGTCACCCAATCTAAAGTTAAACACTCACATGTTAGCTACTAGAGAACAACAGTTTATTATCAAATCAAGGAACTCAGAGACCCCTTCTTGATTTTCTTTAGCTTCAATAGAATATTGAAACACAGGCAATCCCGTTCAATGCCAATTAAACACACATACTCAACAATGAATCCACAACAGGATCCCATACTAACTTAGCTGAAAGTAACTCCCACTGAAGCAAATGGGGCCTACTTCTGAGGAGACACGTGTAGGACTGTTCTGTACAACTTGGCTCAACCCATTAAAAAGAAGTGGTTTAGACATCTCAAGTGAATGAAGTCTGAGAAGACAAGCAAAGGCCCCAATCCATTCTGAACTGTTTATTCACATACTCAGGGACTTCGTCCAATTTCAAATAGCCAATGCAACATGGCAAACGTTCGCCAGAAATGGTTTTTGCAAAGTGATTTGCAGATCAAGGATTATTTGCTGAAGTCATTTGCTCATCATTCTGAATAATGCATAAATCCTGGAAAAAAATTACTGATCTGTTTGTAAGACATTCCCAAAACAGCAAAGAGAGGCAGGAGTTGTGTCATACATTATTGATGGCAGACTCTTCACTCAAGTTCTTATAAATTAACCTGGCCAGAAAAAGAAAAAGAAAAAATCCAGACATGTACCTCTTTAAAGAGACAACTTGAAAGCATTGCCTTGAACATAGAAAATGTCAGGAAGATTAATGAAGTGCCTTATCGCATTTTTCATACAACAAGACAGAGTGTGTCTTCATTTATTATCGCCTTCTATATCTTCCTGCCTGTTGCTGAGTAGGAACAAGGTGTTGCCAGCAGATGTGGTGAAGACCAGCATCTTTGCATTATCTCCCTGAGATGGAGTCCTTGCAGGACCGTATAAAGGTAAAGGGACCCCTGACCATTAGGGCCAGTCATGGCCGACTATGGGGTTGCAGCGCTCATCTCGCTTTATTGGCCGAGGGAGCTGGCATACAGCTTCTGGGTCATGTGGCCAGCATGACTAAGCCGCTTCTGGTGAACCAGAGCAGCGCACAGAAACGCCGTTTACCTTCCCACCAGAGTGGTACCTATTTATCTACTTGCACTTTGAGGTGCTTTCGAACTGCTAGGTGGGCAGGAGCTGGGACCGAGCAACGGGAGCTCACCCTGTCATGGGGATTTGAACCACCAACCCTCTGTTCAGCAAGTCCTAGGCTCTGTGGTTTAACCCACAGCGCCACCCGCGGACGCTATTCAAAGTGGCTGCTGGAGGGCAGTGCAGACAGGACCTATTTGGTAGCAATTTCACATGAGTCATCGAGTTGGCTGCAGCTCAGTGGCAGAGGGCATGTTTTGCATGCAAAAGGTCCCAGGTTCAATCCCTGGCATCTCCTGGTAAAGAATATTCCTCCTTGAGATCCTGGAGAACTACTGCTAGTCAGTGGAGTGCCCAAAGTATAAGGTCTTTTCCTCTGTTCTTAAGTATCCCCTTGAACAGGACTGGATAGATTGGAAGTAAAGTATCTCGACATCATTCTCAGCTGGATTTTATTAGTGCAACCTCCATTCCATTCTGAACTGAGCCATGACTGGGCTGTATCAAGGCCCCATTCACACCATAGAGCGTACCTTGGGGACTATGAATGCGACCTCCTGGGCAGGACTGGAACTTAGAGGGGAGGGGTGTTATGTACTGAGTTGAATAGGATCCAAACTGCAGCAGTCTGATTGGTCCTAGAACAATAGGCTCCAAAATGTAGCAGTCTGATTGGTCCTAGAACAATGCAGCAGTATGATTGGTCAGCAGGAGCCACCCAATCCAGCTCCAGATAGAAGTGAATCCACAACCTGATTGGCCTACAGGAGAATTCCGGAATTAGCCAATCACGTGCAGCCCATTGTGTAAATAATGTATATAAAGCAGATACTTTGAGGGGACTTCCATTCCCTCCTCACCACTATGAGCTGAATAAAGAGCATGAAATCCACTCTTGACTCTGAGTGTATTTCACCTAGCTAACAGGAACGGTGGTCAGGGATGATGGGAATTGTAGTCCCAAAACAGCTGGAGGGCCGAGTTTGGCCATGCCTGCCATAGCGTGTCAAGGAGGAGGACATTGGAGGGGGGGTGATGTCAGGGGCTGGGCAGAGGAGGAGATGTGATGGAGACTGCCTCCTCATCCTGACCCTTCCAGGGAGGAGGAAAAGGAAGACAGTATAGATTTACAACAGTGGCTTGCGGGAAGTCACAGCTCAGAGGCAGATGAGGGGGAAAGTTGGGAAATAATGGGAGAGGAGGAGCAGGAAGAGCCGGACATGTTGGCTGACATGTTGTCACTAGAAAGCATTCCAGACCCACCATCTCCCAGAACCCGGCCTTAAAAATAGGAGAGTAAAGAGCTCAAAGGCAGAGGACACTTAGCGGCACCCATAGACGTGGTGATGTTGATGACGAATGAGGAAGTGGGAGAGACGGGGGGTGGAGATTCTCTCGGGACAACACCATTATCAAAGAGGCTGGGTTCTATAGCCTCTATAGTGAGAGCCAGTGTGGTGTAGTGGTTAAGAGCGGTAGACTCGTAATCTGGTGAACCGGGTTCGCGTCTCCGCTCCTCCACATGCAGCTGCTGGGTGACCTTGGGCTAGTCACACTTCTCTGAAGTCTCTCAGCCCCACTCACCTCACAGAGTGTTTGTTGTGGGGGAGGAAGGGAAAGGAGAATGTTAGCCGCTTTGAGACTATCACTATCACTATCCTTTGGGTAGATTGCTTTGAGACAATCACTTTATCACTATCCTTCGGGTAGTGATAAAGCGGGATATCAAATCCAAACTCCTCCTCCTCCTCCTCCTTCTTCTCTCTGTAAAGTCTGAAATAAAAAAAAAGGACTGTAAAAAACTTTCCCTTGCCTTTCTAATTTCCTGGGCAACAAGCCAGGAGCCACTGACAGCACCCTGACAAATAGTTAAAGCACTGTGATAGCACTTTAAACAGTCATAGCTTCTCCCAGTGGTGGAGTA